GTTCAGTCTCGGCCCCTCCATTCCCACTGTCCCTCCTTTTTCCATCCAGCTCTTACCCAGCCTTGCCTCCCAGTGTTTTCTACACCCATCTGCTATCCCAGATCAACTCATATCCTTGATGTTTCAACTCTCAACCCTTGAGTCTGCAAAAACATCTCCCCCACCCACCAAGATTTCTTCTCCCTTCGGCAAAATCTACCTGTCCTTTGAGATTCAATTTGTTCTTGACACTTTCTAGCAATGTTGATCCACAGTAACCACTCTTAAGTGTGCCACTTGCCATCTGTACCACTAACATTTGACCTCCCACTGTCCCAGCTCACCCAATCATATTTGTCTTTTTCAACTAGAAAGCAGGGCGTTCCCATAGACCTTTCTGTCCCCGAGACTAGGCAGTATGGTAGGAATTCGTTTGATGCTACTGGCAGGCTCTATACGAGGCACTAGATAGAACTGTCCCACGTATGGGGCGCTTAGATTGTGTTGGAGCAGTCCATCAAGCCCTCAGTGCGGGAGGTTAATCAGCGGGGAGTGCTACGACGAGAACTGAAGGTAGAGGTATAGAGACTGAGGTGGTAGGTATTATGTAAATGGGAAGGTCACAGAAATCTTCGGGGACGGCTGTGAGCGGACAGGCAGTGGGCAAGCGCTACCCGCTGCATTCGGGGGAGTTCCGTCTCGGCGTGACGGCTGGGGTGGGGTCGGGCAAAGCTAGCACGCAGCATCAAAACTAGGTTCCTCGGCACCATTACGGTGTCTGTTCTTTGCTTTGGGAGCCTCACAAGATTACGGCAGGCATCAAACAGCAATGAATGTGGAAGTGCTTCAGTACTGTAAATCTGTGCAAATAAAGGGGCACGGAGTTTCCGCTCAAGGCCTGTTTCAAAGGGCCGTGGAATGAGCCAACTTCTAAGTGCCCGCCCGGGGCACTGGGACGCAGGGGGACGTGCGACCAGGAGGGCCACTTCGGAGCCCGCCAGTCCGGGGGTCCCGGGAGTACCGGGCGCCTCGGTTTCCACAACGCCCGCAGGCCCCCCGCCCCCGGCCCGCGGCGCCGCGCGCTTCGGCCCGTCCGCCCCGCACTCACCAATCGGCTTGTCCAACCGCATGAGGCGCAGGTAGGGCTGCAGGGGGCGGGGCGCCGAGTTCACCACCGCAGCGGCCGATAGGCCGAGCCGACGCCTGCGCGGTCCCGGCTCGGCCAAAGGCCGCCCGTGCCCAGCGCGGAGCGCGCCAGCCGCGCGCGCCAGGGCCAGGGCGCCGGACCCCCGCAGCCACGGCCGCGTCAGGACCCGCAGCCCCCCCGCGAGGGCCGCGCCGCGAGCGGCCAGCATGGCGCCCGGGAGAGGGCGTGGCCCCGCCCCGGCCTGAGGTCATTCCCCGGCGACGGGTCGCGGCCGGCCCGCGCAGTGACGTCACCGCAGGCCGGCCGACGCGCGCCCAGTCTGAGCGGCCGAGTGGTCCGAGCGGTCCGAGCCTTTCTAGTAACCGGCCGGGGCGCGGGGTGGCCGCGGTCGCTTTAACCTTGGGGGCGGGGGTCCCTGGGATGCTTAGCGTGATGAGGAGTTCCTGTGGTCGGCTTTCTCAATAAATGGAGCAAAGATAGTGTTGTACCAGGAAAATAAGAAGACCTCGAAAAAGCTACCAAAATACTGATTTGGGGCGTAAAAGGGGCACCGAGGGCCATTGTAAGAATGTAAATTAAACCCGTGCTCAGAGTCAAGGGACACGCATCACACAAGTGAAAACCTTAAATTTGACGGTCAAGTCCGAGGAGTTTGTGGACTCAAGAAGCAGTGAGCTTGTGAGATGCAAGAGCCTGCAGCTGGACCATCTGGTGGTGCTCTTGATTCTAGCCAGGTCTCGGGTAGGGCTGTCTGCCGGGCACTGTTGCAGGCACTATGCACGGATTATCCTATTTAACCACTTCCCCGGTAACCATGGGTAAGCCACTCCTCTGCATTGTACTACTCTAGAGAATTGGGTTAGTCTTTAAACTCCTCTCCTTAAAACCACAGCAGTGATTCTGTGATACCTTGAGTCTCCAGGGGTGGTGAGGAGGGGGCAGTCTTTGATAATTCTGCAAAAACAGCTCACCACTAGTTAGTTCACTGATTGTGCGCAGAGGGATCAAGGCATCAGGAAATTTTACTAGAGGAGAAAACACACTTCCTCCTGTGTGTGTACCCTCTTCTCTCAGGACTCCACCACGACACTACCCCACCCTGACACCAGATGCGCGGGCTTTCCACATACCAAGCAATTCTGTGATAACACGTGGTATTCTATAATTTAACTCAGTGCTGGTACTAAGTTCCTGGAGATGCCATTAGGTCCCACAGGTTAAGGGCTTGGGCTCGCGAGACTGCCCCTTGCCCCACTTAAGATGCTAATTGCAAGTCCAGGTCATTATCTGTGCTTCTGACCTATTGGCTATTGACTGGAAGTTTTGGAGACCCCTTCTTGCATTTGATTAACTTGCTAGATGGTTCACGGAACTTAGGAAAACATATTACTTACTATATTACTGCTTTATTATAAAAGGGTGTAACCCGGGAACAACCAGATAGAAGAGATGCATAGGGTAAAGGGTGTGGGAAAGAACACAGAGCTTCCATGACCTACTCTCTCCACACCTCCGTGTGTTCACCAACCCTAAGGCTCTCTGAACCTTGTGGTTTGCGGTTTTTGTGGACACTTCATTACATAGGCATGATTGATGAAATCCTTGGCCGTTGGTGATTGAACTCAATCTCTAGTCCCTTTCCCTTCCCTGGATGTTGGGTGTTGGGCTGAAGGTTCCAATCTTCTAATAATACATGGGTTAGTTCCTCTGGCAACCAGCCCCCATTCCTTTTTTTTTTTTTTAATTTTATTTATTTATGATAGGCACACAGTGAGAGAGAGAGAGGCAGAGACACAGGCAGAGGGAGAAGCAGGCTCCATGCACCGGGAGCCCGACGTGGGACTGGATCCCGGGTCTCCAGGATCGCGCCGTGGGCCAAAGGCAGGCGCTAAACCGCTGCGCCACCCAGGGATCCCCCAGCCCCCATTCTTGAGGACTTTCCAGAAGTCTCCTTGGAGTGAGAGTGGTATACATTGTCCTGCCTCTGATGAAAGGAACTCAGGGGAGGTTCAGAGAAAATGGAAACCTCCAAAGTGGACCACTGTTCCCCTGCACCTTGATGCAAAAGTGCTCTTCCCAGATGGTCCTGAAATGATCACCAATGAGAGTGCCCTGGTCTGGAGTTAGGCTTCTAGCTTCCTCAGCGGGCTCATTACTTTAGAGTAATCATTAGACTTGTCATCAAAGCAGTTTCTGTGTTTGTTGGAGAAAGAGCCCTAGAGCTGGATTGGGGTGGGGGTAGGGAAAGGATGAAGGTCAAAGTCGAGTTTGTGGGTTCGCTATTTTGTTTGATTACACTACCACTGAAAGTTATATGAGAGAGCAGCAACTTTCCATTACTAATGCCCTGGCATTTGCAGTTGTTGATAGAATCCTTCAACTACATACAATTTTCTCTCCTTAAACACTCGTGGAACTTTGTTTTTTCTGTTTTACAAAATTTAAGTAATTTTCCTTTGTATCATACTAATTTTATGTTCTCATTTTGATTGAAAACCCCTTGAAGTTAGATATTTAAGAAAATTTAGCAAACTACTTATTGAATTCTTGTTTTATGAAAGCACTGTGTTTAGCACAGGGTATGTCAAGGGGGAAAAGTCCTATCGTCAAGGAGCACACAGACTATTCATTTAATGTTCATTAATATAGGGCCACCTGGGTGGTTCCGTTGGTTAAGTGGCTGGCTCTTGATTTCAGCTCAGGTCATGATCTCAGGGTCCTGGGATTGAGCTCTGTGTGGGGCTCCATGATCAGCGAGGAGTCCACTTCAGAATTCCTTCCCTCTCCCTCTGCGCCAACCTCTAAAATAAATACATGCATACATAAATGTTTTTAAAATATTCATTAATATATAACTGAGAGCATTCCTTTCTTCATATAAGGATGCCCCCAGTTTTTCACATAACCATCTGCCACTAGTAAGAGCTCATTAGTGATAGTTTTTAAAAGACTCTTTAAAAGTAATAGGCAATGCCTTCTCAGGTTGAAATATCACTAACTTTTTCTATATGTTAAAAATAAAAATACTTAAGCTAGTTTCAAATTTGTTCTTCGCTGTCATTAAGGAAACATCTGAGTGGCTACGGTGTGCCAGACAATATGCTAAGTACAGGGAATATAAAGATGATTTAAGATACTGTACTTCTTTCTTCTGAGCTTAGAGTCAAGTTAGAAAGACATATGGATACAATTAAAATGCACCATAAGTGCCATAGTAAATGTACAACTCCTAAAGGGACAAAGAAATAGGACTAAGTCTACTTAAAGTATGGGGGAGTCGCGGAAACTGATGTTTGAGAGGGTCTTCATAAATGTGAAAGTTTGCCACAAAGAGAGGAAAGTTAGAAGATCGGTCTGGATGGAGAACAGACGGACCATCACCAAAAGTTGAGGGGACTGTAGGTTCAGACCCCCAGCCAGTGTGCAGGCAGGAGAAGAGAATTCTTGGCAAGAGTAAGAGTTAAGGCTGAAGAAAGAGGCAGGTGCCAGGCTATGGAGCACCTTTCTGTGACTATAAGAAATGGGGAGCCATTTAAAAATTTTAAGCAAAGTCAGAGAGAACAATTAAGAGATGGTTATAATAATACCAGTGATAAATCAGGCTTTACATTTATTAAGTGATAGAGGGGACAAGGAAAAGAAAAATAGATGGGACAGGACTTTGATCACGATTGAGTCTACCTGATAAGGGAGGAAATTGTGTTTGTACCTGATGATCTCTTTGCTTCAAGGTCAGCTCTTGTGTGGGGGAGGCGGCAAGGACAGATAAAGCCAAGTGCTGAAGTAAAGTAAGGCTTGCAAATGTAGGGATCTGCAGGCTTAAGGTTCCCCCCCCCCCAGGCTTAAGTTTTATTAAAAGAATAATCGTGCAATATTGAGGTTATAAAAATTACTTTATTTCCAATGTGAAAATATAAAAACTACTTATATATAAAATTTAGGGGTATCGAAGCATCCAAACTCTAGGTTCTGTCTTTAGCTCCTTATATATGTACTTAAATTTAATTGAGACAATATTCATAGCAGGCATAAATATAAAGAGAATTATATTTCTAAAAATTAAGATACAGGAGAAAATAATACCTTCCATCAGTGATAAAAGCACAGAACTATGGTTGTCAGTGCCACAGACTTCCAAACACCCTGTCCATTCCAAAAGATTACTAGGAGACAATTAGAGGGATTTCATTGATGTTGATAGTGATGGGGAGAATGGCCATGTGACCCATTCCTGACCAATAAGACATGAGGAAACATGAGGAAAGGTCCACTAGGTCTACTGAGAGACCCTCTGAGAAAGGATTCTTCAGGACTATGAAGGAGAGGAAAAAAAGTTGCTCATCTTTCTCTGACTGCTGCCGGGTCTGAATGGGTCCATGGAATAACTCCAGCCATCATGCATGAGCTTGAGAATGAAGCCAATGCTAAATGTGACAGAGCAGAGAGATGGAAAGGTGCTGGTTCCTTGGTGACATCCTGAGCCTGCCCTACTTGAACTTCTTATTATGTAGGGTTATAAATGTCCTGATGGTTTAGGCCATTTGAATCAGGGTTTTCTGCTACTTGCAGCCAAAAGTTTCCCAACTAAAACAAGAATTAAAGGTAGATGAAAAGTAAATATTAACAGGTGGTTATAATAATGTATTTCTCCTTTTGGGGAGTCAATTTCTTTTATAGTCACTTTAAAATTTCATTTCAAGTTTACATAATCCAGTCCCTCTGAATTGTTCTTTTTTCTTGTACTATCACTTCTAACCATCTGTCCTCTCACACAGCATTGTTGACAAAGACAGAACAGAGAGAAGAGAAGCAGCAGTTGAACCCAGCTGCCTGTTTAGGTGCAAAGAGACTGTCTCTCATGTATAGGCAATTTGAAGATTGTGGCAGTAGACTCTTTCCATAGAGAGAGCATATAGAATAGATTCCTGCTATCTTTTAATAACTGTTTTTTAAAATAAAAATAACTAAGCACTTTCTTAAAGTTAATCATATAGCCTTCACTTACTTGCCTCCTGGCTGTATTGAGAGCACCCATATACCTTTTTTAATAACCTTAAATAAAAATAGAACATGCAAAGCACTAAGTGTAGTGTTTGGCGCAAGGTATTATTAGCAGTGGTCTACTTAGAACAAAAGACTCCATTAAATCTAGCACTGAGAGTGTCCCAGTGGCCCTAAAGCCCTCGCTCGTTGATTTGTAATGTATCTGCTTGCCTTCCTATAGCTTGGATTTTGTTTTCCTCTTATCAATACATTTGAAAATTTCAATCTCGCGGCTAGTGTAGGCTTTTCCTTTTCAGATGCAAGCAGGAACTTTGGCATTTCTTATCACAAAAAATCCATATGAGAAAGCTGGCAAGCCCAGTGAACTCCCTGGGCGGAGAGATTTTTCTGTTAAAGCAGGGAGGGTGTGATCATCCACCATCTTCAGAGTTTGACCATTGAGTTGAACAGATCTGTAAAGGGGAAAGATACATCTAAGTTAGCCCTAGTTGTGTGTGCTCTACAAAAGTCGTGACATTGTTTTAAGATCAAAAAACTTGTGACAGCTTGTATTATATAACTTGTATTTCTGTCTATATTGGGTAAATGTTTGACCCAGATGATCTCTAAGCTATACTGGGAGAGCTGAGTCATTGTGACAGAGACCATATGGCCCGCAAAGCCTGAAATACTTACTATCTGGCCTTTTACAGAAAATGGAACACACATAATCTATACTAGACACAATGACGGAGGTATCAAAAGGACAAACATGACATAACTTCTAGATTTGTGGCAATTTGATTTGCTGGTAAATAATTGAAAATGTTTTTTTATACAAGGCAAATAGATATATAGAATGGGATGTAAATTTCACAAATTTAACATTAAAAATGGCAGTGAAACTTCCTTATAACTATGCCCATAAATCCTCTAAGTCCCCTTCCCCCAGGTGATATGCATTCATTTGCATATCTTATGTTGTTAAGATATTTTGGTAGAATATATATTGCTGGAGTGAAACAAAAATAATTGTTTCACTGAACCACAGATTCCCCAAAAATGTATGTTTTCTTTGTGTTCTACTGTTGGAATTCAAATTTAAAACTGAGTCAAAAATGTGAAAAATATTTTAAGGACAAGTATTATTTTTATGTGTATTTATTATTTAAGTCAAATTAATATAGGCTCACAGCAATAAATCCAATATAAATAAGAGCTTATAATGAAAATCTTTAGCCGGCTTTTAGCTCCACTGATAAGTTAATTCCATAATTCTAAACATCTTATATTTCTATAATCTTTTTCTCAAGCACTTTTTACATTCTGACGTTTTTCCAACAGGAAAAAAATTTGTTGTTGAAATTAGTTAATGTCAGAGTTATATGTATGTCCTATATGTGATACATGTAATATATATAGAACACTTACAGGAGTTCCTTGAATATAGTAAACACTGAAAAAGTATTATCATTATTCTGATGAATAAATATAACAAAATAACCTTCTAATTCATCATAACCATTTTTAATATTTTGATGTATATTCCTTCATCTTTTCATCTCTTTTATGTACATACATGCATATTTTCATTTAAACAAGAACAATCATACAGTATATAATCTCTCAAAACTTGATTCTTTTTCCCTTAACACATCTGAACATTTGCTCACACACATCTACTACATCATTTTAATAGCTGTACAGTATTCCACTGTGTGAGCATATTAGCTTAGTAATCGTCTAGTGTTAGACATTTAATTGTTTCCAGTTTAGAATTATTTTAATTTTCCTTTTTAAACATCTCTCAAACTTTATCCTCACTAAGTATCAGTCAGCAGAAAAATTGGTTTCCATTTAAACTTGGTTAGATGCCCAGCTCTGGTTATGTACCAACAGATTTAATAAGATAACCATGATGATGCTAGAGGCTACCAAGCCTGCCCTGCATTTACACTTGGTCCACATGAGCATGAGTTCTGTTTTAGTGCCTATATCACATCCATTTTTAGATGGGATGGGGGAGGAAAGGCCATGACCACCATCAGGAAACCACAAACATTAATAGGCCTTGAAAATACTTCTAAATGCTAGTAGTAAGAGCTGTTCTGCAAGAAATTGAAAAACGTTTTCAAGAGTACCTGAACAAATTTCAGAAACGCTTTAGGAGAGGCCACAGGGCTTAAAGGTAAATCTCATCATTGTAAATTAATAGTGCCATGGGTTCAGATGATGAAACATGGGCAAGATAATACCCAAGACCATCTGGCTACATTGTTTAATTAGCTGTAAAAATAGCTAAAGGATGCTATCAATACATTGAGGAAAGCTGAAAGCATGTTGATTATTTTTGCACTGGGCTGGGTAAGTGAGGGTAGGTTTTATTAGAGGGTAGTATCCTGTTTCATATTTTGAAGTCAGTAACATGATAAGAAATAGAAGACATGCTTGTCAAGTTTCAGATGAAATAGAGCTGAAAGGAATTAGCAAGCAAGAGGAATCTGAATTAGGGATGCTGGGCAAAATTTATCTGAGATAAATATAAAATACTGCTTTTATGTTAAAAATATTCTCTCAAATATTTACTAAATGCCTACTACACAGGACCATCTGTAGACACTATACAAGTTGTTCAACTAAAGAATGTTTTTTTGAAAGATGATCATTGTTTAAGCCTCTGAGGTCATTAGAATGAACAAGTTTGTAGACTGTTCACAAATTTAACATTAAAAATTTCACAAATTAAACATTAAAGTTTCACAAATTTAACATTAAAAATGGCAATTACACAATTACACTCATCAAACTTATCTGGAATACTTCTGCAACATTTTATTTTATTTTTTGCAACATTTTATTTTTTTATTTTTATTTTTATTTTTTTAAACAATTTTTTAATTTTTATTTATTTATGATAGACATACAGAGAGAGAGAGACAGGCAGAGACACAGGCAGAGGGAGAAGCAGGCTCCATGCACCGGGTGCCCGATGTGGGATCCGATCCCGGGTCTCCAGGATCGCGCCCTGGGCCAAAGGCAGGCGCCAAACGGCTGCGCCACCCAGGGATCCCTTTTGCAACATTTTAAAGAGAAAAGTGTAAGTAGTGGATACTCATCAAAGAGAACTTAGGGTAATAGAACATGATCCATAATTTCACCAGTTCTCCATTATTAAGCATGAAATGTGTGATCAGAAAGCAACAGGGTCTGATAAATACAGCAAAGAAAAGGATCATTGAAGAAATTGGGCACATTAAACCTGGAGAGATCAATCTAATTGTCCTGCAGCTATTGGAGTTACACTGGAGAAAATTAGATATTTGGCATCATTACACATTAAGGGTAGTGAATTCAAGTGCTCACAAAGCCAAGGAATTTATATGTGTAAGTGCAGTAGGGCAGGGTCTCAGAGATAACAGGGTGATGGAGGGACAGAAGAACCTGTCTAAAGTAAACAACCCCAATTCAACTCCATCTACTTGGGAAAACAAGCCCAGAGTTCCAGAATACCTGTCTTTAAATTTTAAAAAATATATATTTATTTACTTATTTAGAGAGAGAGGGAGGAGGGAAAGAAAAAGGGAGATGGGAGAAGAGAATCCCAAGCAGACTCCCTGCTGAGCCAGGATTCCTAACCTCATCTGAGGTTACAACCTGAGCTGAAACTAAGGGTTGGATGCTTAACTGACTGAGCCATCCAGGCGCCCCTGGAATATCTTTTTTTTTTTTTTAAGATTGTATTTATTTATTTTTTAAGATTTTGTTTATTTATTCATGAGAGACACAGGGAGAGAGGCAGGGACACAGGCAGAGGGAGAAGCAGGCTCCCTGTGGGGAGCCTGATGAAAGACTCCATCCTGGGACCCTGGGATCACAACCTGAGTCAAAGGCAGATGCTCAACCACTGAGCCACTTGGGTGCCCCTCGAACATATATTTTTAAAGAAAAGCTAGAAATCCAGATATTTTTGTAGTTATCAATTTTTAAATGTTGACAACTTTGTAAACATAAAAATTAACACAGAGTGCATGCCAACCTCCCCTACTAGGAAAAAAGAGGGGGAAAAAGCCCCCTAAACCCACTTGTACACAGGCATGAGGTGTAGTTTCCGACCTCTGCTCTTGAGGACAGAACCAAAAACAGCAGATGAAAGGCAAGAGAGAGGCTCGCCTTCCCCTCACCAGAGAGGATGGCTGCCTGCCTGGAGAGGCTGGCAGATCCAGCAGAGGAGGAATCAAGCAGAGCTGAATGGCCTGAACTCCCCATTGAAGGTTGGACTAAAATATCTCTATGCTTTTCCAACTCTACAACTATTATTCAATTATTTCAGAAAAGCTTTTTCCCTGTCAGCATCAGACACCAATATCAGCATCAGACATAAAAATATCCGTTTCAGAAAGTCAGAGCCCAAATAGAAAAAGTATCTGTTAACGAAATATGCATTATTTACATTAGGGCGGAAAATGATTAAAATGGCAAGAAAATGGGTTAAGTAAACCTTGGTAATTTTACAAAACATGCAGTCCATAAAAACGTCTACAAAGGTTTTGTATGGAAAGACATTCCTGGGTACCCCCTCTTTCCCATTAGAGGTTGTATGATTACAGTTGTAAAATAAAGCATAGGGAAAAAAACAAGGAATGGCATCCAATGTTAATGATGTTTGTCTATGGAATGCAGGTCTTTGGGGAAACCATGCTTACTGTCCTTTTTCAGGTTCTGATGCTGATTATTGTGGAAAACATCTCTCATACAGCATTTGCAAAGATGGGAGAAGATGGTGAGAATTTTGGAGATTCTTATTTTTTTGCTCCAATGTGAGAATAGTCATGATGAAAGGAGCTCCTTCCCAACACAGAATCTTACAGTTTGCATGCCTGCCTCTTCAAGGCTCATGGTCATTTTTGGGTGTTCTGTTGAATATGGTATTTTATAAGACATAACCAATGACTGGCTTTTAAAACTAAAATGTGTTACAACTAACTTCAAATTATCCACCTAACAGCTACACTCCTAGACATTTTTTTCTTACTCTATCCAAATAAAAACACTGCTTTAACACTGTAAGAGAATCACACTCAACTCACATGGTGTAATATGTACGCCAACCCCAATGCTCTTAGTAGCAATTATACATAGGTATGTTTTGCTTTAATGACTGTGTTACCAAGAATTACAAGTTTTGTAGAGCAAATAATTTAAATGCCTTGAGGGCATTGACATATCAAATTGTTCTGAAATGCAAACTACTCTGTAAGAGAATGGCTAATTTGTGTTCATATCCTTCTGCTTAGGACTCTGGGTGACTTATACCTGTATTGATAAATATTCATATATAAATTTCCCGAACATTAAGAATTGTTAGAACTTGAAGTAGTTGACTTTTTTTTTCTTCCTATCAACACTTTCTATTCTGATAAACATCAATCAATTTGGTGAAAGTTTGAAGTGAAAAAGGAAAATCACTCACTTGGAAAGTAACTCATCAGGTCCTAGAGGTTGTATGAGATACTTGTCCACTTGTTTGTCAAATAGATGATACGGCAACTGCAAGCGTTTGGTGACATTATGGAGGTTTAAGGCATACAGAGTTAAATCTCCTTCTTTATACCTTGGGCTAAAAGCAAATGGGTTAGCTCAATAAAAATATTTAACTTAAGCAATTAAAAGCAATTACAAACATAATCATGGTTACTAAGTATTGGTGTCTATGATGATGGGTCCTCCTTTTATCCTTCATGATTACAGTTGATGACTGATGTGGTCCTATTTGAAAATATGATTGAAACTATTGCTCCTCATGCTACCATTTTCTGGATTAGAGCATTTTGGGATCTTTGATGCTTTGCCAGGTGGAGTTGCCAGGAAGCTGGTCAGCCCAACCCTGTTCAAACATAGGAAAGTTAAATAATAAAAAGCAAATTTTGTGTGTTCCTATGAATTCAAATCATAAACCATGCAAACAGGAGCTTTTCTTGCCTTATGAGAAAACTAAAACAAACAAGAAAATTGAATCTATTGGTACTTTTCAGAATTTCTATGTGAACCATTCATTCTCCTACTCCCTAGTGGGTCCTCACTATTTAAAGAGTTTCCACTCACCAGAAATCATGTGTGGCTTTATTTTGGCTAGAATTATTATTTCAGTATAACCCTTTCAGGAAGGACATTTTACTGATTAAAACTTGTTTACTGGTAAAGGACGTGTTACACACTTACTGATTGACATTGGTGCAATGAAGGTATACTCGAAGTTTACTTCTGTCTGGACCTTTCACACTTGCCATGAACACATTGGTGCCCACGAGTTTCTTGAACAGAAGAGATAGCCAATAATCCTAATGCAGTGGTTGGGGAGAGAAGGAATCAAAATAGATCTTATTTATTTCTTTACTTAACAAAAACAGTGTGAGCAAATAATTAATCCTACAATGACTGTTATCCTAGAAGTATTTAAATGGAATACATCTTTGGATCCATGGTCCCACCATGAATCCGAGGGCAAATTTTTATTTGCTGCTTTTTATCATTGGAGGACTATGTTGGTACAATTCAGAGGGTCATGACCACTAGGAGATATATTTCAAGAACGTTATTCATTGCTGAGAGAGTTTAAATATTCTTTATCATCTATCACCCAAGAATTCAAAGCAAAGCTCAAAGCAGAACATTTAGATATGCACAAGTACACACTCCCACTCAAAGACAAGTCTTTACAATACAATTTCTACCTACTTAAGAGATTAAAATAATTTCTTTTTTAAAAAGATTTAAAAAAATTTTAAGTAATCTCTATAGCCAACATGAGGCTCAAACTCACAACCATGAGATAGTGTCCGTCCCCTGCTCCACCAACTAAGTCAGCCAGGAGCCCCTAAAATAATTTATTTTAGAACCTTATAACCCCCCTTCCTGGGTAAAATAATGGATTAGGCAACAATCCTTACTAGCTTTAAGGTAAAAAAATATATATATATATATAGAGAGAGAATCAGACATTATGTGATTCTTGTTGGAAGCACATCACATCTCCTATGAAGAATTGCTACAAAACATATCTCTTCCAAGTGGCTTTTGGGATCAAAAGCCTACATTCCTGATTTGGCACCAGATACAGTTGCAGGTAGGGTGAAAATGAGACTTTATTCATAAATATCTTGAAGATTATAAACAAAATAGCCAATTTTTAGGGTGAGATTTTTGAAAAAATAAATTATAATTTCACGACAGAAAAGTTTTGAAGTTTTGGATACTGTTAGTAATTTTAACTTTGATTTACTTTGCAAAAAAACATTTCTTTTTTAATTAATTAATTGTGTGCAAGCAAGGGGAGGGGCAGAGGGAGACAGAGAATCTCAAGCAGACTCTTCACTGAGTGGGAGCCTGACCAGACTTGATCTCTGGACCCAGAGATCATGACCTGAGCCAAAATCAAGAGTTAGACTCTTACCTGACCGAGCCACCACGGCACCCCACAAAGTTCTGAGTTCGTTATCTTATGAGATTGGAGTCATTAAATTTGAAATTTTCCTTTAAAAAAAAAAATCCCATGTGGCGCCTGGGTTGCTCAATTGGTTAAGCATCTGACTCTTGATTTTCACTCAAGTCATGATCTCAGAGTCATGAGATCGAGCCCCATATGGGGCTTCTACTTGGTGTAGAGTCTGTCCCTCTCCCTCTATTCCTCCCCTTGCCTCTGCACTTGTGTTCTCTCATCAATCAATCAATCAATCAATCAGTCAATAAATAGCAATGGGAAAATAATGATCACTTACAGGTAAAGGTTCGAAGTTTTCATCTACTAAGTGGTAGTTTCCAGCTCCAAAGAGCACTTGCCTCATCACCACTTCTATGCCCATTCTGGCCGACAGGCCCAATTTATCCAGCCACCTGCAAAAGAGCAAGGCCCAGCTCTCTTCAGGTTTGGAAAAAAAAATCAATTCTGATTATACAACTATTCTGATTGATTCATCTATGTGGGAGGAATTGACAGGAGACCAGACAAGTGGTATAAATTATAAATAAGCCAATCACATGAAATGGAGACTATCCTTCCCTTCACATGTTCACACGTGTGAGCATGATAATAAATCATAGAATACTATTAATATGCCATAGGAGTTCCTTTCGAGGTAAGAAAACTTCTACAAAGCAGAGTAAACAAATTCTCACCCCACAGGCAATCATTCATCTTGCTGGATACCCTCCCCACCTCCCCAAAACCCAGGCCCATGTGAGGAAGAAAAGGCTGAAGAAGAAAAGGCAGTTTGTAGTCATCAGTAGTAAAATATGAAATAAGTAGAATCACACCTAGACTTTTGTGGCTATCTTCCTCCACCCCTTCCATCTTTAGCTGATGGCAAAACAAACATCTTTATTCTTATCTCTTCTCATGCCCCCATGAGCAAAAATAATTTATTTTTTTATTCTGGATTTACAAGAATTAGGAGGGTAGGAGAGGAAAGAGAGTAATTCTCAGTGTAAGGTTATAGAATTCTAGATTAAGAGTGTTAATAGAGTTCTGGAATGTAAGTAAACCAGTTGTTTAAAGCAATCAAGTTTGTGGTTGGTTGGATAATGAAGGTGATTTAGTAAGTCTTGAAACTTATTGGTAGCTCCTCACACTTCAGACTCTAAACTCCTTGGGAATCTATGAATAGAGCCACATATACATAAGGTTTCTTCTCAGACTTAAGCCTCTAGAATATACTCTTTTATGATCTCTTTCAGAGTAAGGAAGCCTTGGCATATTTATGGGCCATAATTAAGGAACAGCACTTCTAATGCAATTCATTCATACAATAATTAATTTGGGACACCCATTAAAGATGTCCAACAAACTTTAGTAAAAGATTTCCTTGCAAAATCTGGCATGAATTTTGGCTCTCAGCCATAGAAATGGGCTTTGATCAGCTTTCTGGGTGATGAGCTGTTTCAACATCCTGTAATAAAAGGCCAGGAGAATGTTGCAGCCTAATCCCCAAGGCGGTGCTGTTTCACTCACATAAAGCCAGCTGCAAAGGTGTTGGACAGCAAGGGTGCTCCACCCCCGTATGCTGAGCTTGTTTCTCCTAACCAAACCTTCTTGTGGGGGCTGGTCTCCTCAACAACCTATGGAACAGGAGATTCCCTATTATATTTGTAAACAAGCTGACCAACTACAGTGATAAAAATAAATGACATTCAAAACCTTGTATTCCCAGACTGATTTGTCCAATATAGTTACAAAATGTGTTTGTGGTCATTTAGGTCTTGGGCAATTTACTTTTATTATAATACTTAGTGTAGAAGGAATTTAAATAATCCCATTCCTATTTGAGGCGGGGCTTGGAGAGTTAATTCTACCAAAGACTATTGGAAGTGTTTTTAATTTTTAATTGGGCATACATAGGAAACACATAGGATGCTAAGGGGGACGGAAGGTGAATAAGTATCTGTTATCTAAAGAAAAACATGTAAATGTATATACACATGGAATCTAGAATTAGCTAGACCACAAAATAAAAATTCTGGCTTTACAGAAGTCTCTCCTTATCTATGGTTTTGCTTTCTGCAGTTTCAGTTGCCTGTGGTCAACTGCAATCTAGAAGCAGATGGTCCTCCTTCTGACCTATCATTAGAAGATTGCTAGTAGCCTAAAGCCACCAATACATATGTCATTCACCTCACTTCATCTCATCATGTAGGTGTTTTATCATCTCACATCATCACAAGAAGAGTGAGTGCAGTATAGTAAGATATTTTGAGAGAGGGAAACCACATTCACCTAACTTTTATTATAGTTATACTGTAATAATTGTTCTATTTTATAATTATTGTTGTTAATCTCTTACTATGCCTAATTTATAAGTTAAACTTTATCATAAGAATGTATGTATAGGAAAAGTATATATAGGGTTTGATATAATCTGTAGATCCAGACATCCACTGAGGGTCTTGGACTATATCCCTTAGAGATAAAGGGGACTACTCTCCTTAAAAAAAAAAAAAAAAAAAAGACTATTACCTGGAAAATCTTTTGCACAGTTGAAGTAAAAGTGTCCAACACATCAGGGTTTAGGAAATCTTCTTTTGTAGCAATTCGTCCATTCAAGTAGTAGCTAAATTATTTGGAAAATATTCAGAAAAACAAACCATACTTCCTGCTTTTAAGTTAATTGGCTAACTTGTTCTCCTTTCTACCTCTTCACACCCCTCTGTTATTAAAAAAAAAAAAAAAAGTCAGAACTTCTAGCAAGAAAAGACCAAGATGGAAGGGGATAGTCACAATTGCAGGTTCTTATAGGTTACCTGTTCTTTGGCAAGCATATTGATTTTAGCTACTTACCTGCCCCACGATTTAAATGATAGTGTGTTTTGATCTTATAGAAACTACCATATATTTAAAATAAAGTTTAAAATTTTCTTTTCTTAATATTAAAAGTCTAGTACAAGCTGCTTGAGATACTATTTGTTTCTTATTTGAACTATGTCAATTAGTAATTAAATGGAAATAATTTTTTGAAAACTAAGCAGTAAGTAAAGCTAGCATTAGTTTCTCAGTACTAAGATCAGGTGACATACTTACTGGTGCCATGTAACAGAATCAATCACTTTTCCTCCAGCCTTCAGGAAACTGGAAAAAAAATCCATTATGATCTTTACTTAATCCTCATATGCCCAGTATATATGCACAATATATGCACAGGAATTTTACTTCCTGGAAATGAGCTGGTTGCTGCCTTTGCATCAGGCAAACACAAACTTCCCAATACTGATACAGATTATAACATAGGTTCCCTTGGCCCTCAGATCCTTAGTATTCTGAGCCAGGCAATGTTTCCTCTTTTGGTAAAACATTAGGTAGCAAGTGGCTTAATTACAGGCGGACTATTGAGAATTCTCCACCGGAGATAAATACTATGTTTAAGAAAAGTGGTTCTGCTTCCTCTAGCTCCTACCTCCTTAGCATGGGGACTGTCTTTCCTCGAGGCTGGCCAATATCAGGACCATAGAGATTGGCGGTTTTGAAAGAGGTTTTGCCTAGAAGTTTATGCAGCTTGACAAAATCTTTTCCTAACTGCAATCCATCGATGAAAATACCAGCCTTCTTCCGGAAACTGTTAGGTTCTGAAAGAGAGCAATTCTCAGGGTAATCGCGTACCTAGAAATCTTGTATTCAAAAGCAAATTTAACAGCAGCATCTAAGAGCAAGAAAACATTTCCCAGTCACAAAAACTTAGACTCCAAAGGCAAGAAAAGTAAAACCCCTCTTTATCCTCTTTATGAAGAAGATATTTCCATTAAACACAAATTTAAAGGACATAACAAAAGGGTGAGGGGATATTAAAACAACCTGAAGTTAATGATGGGAATATTAAACTAGTGGATAGTTGGGGAATAGTCTTCATCCAGTACTTAGTACACTGATTTACTTAAAAAGGATGAAAACTTTGGGTGAGAGGTGAAGACATTTAAAAACTGATTTCTACAATGCCATTAAAAGCCTTATTGAGACCGTTTATTCACAAATTATCTGTGCAGGTGAACCTGGATGTAGCCATGCTGAAGACTCAGGAGGGAAGCAGAGAAGTGTTCGATCCACTGCCCACAACACCCTGTATGGGCATTTCCTTGCTCCCTTCTCCTTCTCTCTGGAAAGCAGACCTTTTTCTTGCAAAACGGGGCCCAAGAAAGAGGGGAGACATGATGGTATGGCCTTTTTATCTTACTCTAAAGAACAGAAGGAGTTCGGGATGAGTACAATAGAAAAGGAGGGAGGGAGAGATGTATAGAGATGGGGAAGGATGGGCTCAGATGACTCATTATTCATGTGGTTGCCATTGTTCAAAGTTGTTCAGTGTCTAGCTAAGATATGGTTACCCCTACCTTTATATTGTGTTTTGTGCTTCGACTTGCCAGTTACCCTTAGCAACCTCATCCCAAATCCACCTCTAGACATCATGGAGGTACATACCACTCTAGGCATTTAGCTTATTTCTTTGCTTGCTTTCGTGTTGGTCTGGCTCCCTTCCTCTAGAATGGAACTCTTGAGACTCTTGGTCTCAAGCAGGGACCTTGCTCTGGAGCCAAACTACCTGGGCTCAGATCCCAAATCCTCCGCTTAGCAGCCCAGCATCACACAGCTATTTAACCTTTTTGTGCCTCTTTTGTCATCTGTAAAATGAAGGTCATAATTGTATCCACCCAAGGGTGGTTTATGAAGAGAAAAGAATACTTATTAAATGCTCAGAACAGTGGTTCAGGAATGTAGTGCGTGCCCACCATATAACAACATCCCATTTCCCATTTCACTTTCAGTTCCATTGGCTCACGTGCGGAAAAAGCATTATAAATATGTTGGAATAAATGTGGCTGTAGTTGGAATTTACAAGTTCTTTGCAAAAAAGTGAAGAAGGAAATCATCAGGAGCTTGATCTAGGTAGGATTCTATGCTGGGAACTTCTAGCTTGAGCATATCATGATGATTGGGGTAGAGTCGCTGAGATTAAGTGACAAATTGAGAAACAAAGAAAATAGAATGGCAAAAGGAAAAGTGCCTGCTTTATAGTTTTGCTGAGTCCAGCCTGCCAACCACCCTAGGTTTAAGTGACCCTGAAAATGTCAAGTGAACCCAGGAGCTGTGGAAGTTTCTGGGTCCAACCAGTTGCCTTCAGCTCAAGTGTAACATAAACTAGGATTAACAGGGATCCCTGGGTGGCGCAGCGGTTTGGCGCCTGCCTTTGGCCCAGGGCGCGATCCTGGAGACCCTGGATCGAGTCCCGCGTCGGGCTCCCGGTGCATGGAGCCTGCTGCCTGTGTCTCTGCCTCTCTCTCTCTCTCTCTCTCTCACTGTGTGCCTATCATAAATAAATAAAACAAAAAAAATTTAAAAAAAAAACTAGGATTAACAGTAGGTTCTAGGATCTATAAAGAAGTTTTTTGCCAGAAGCAATTCCAAAAGTTGCATTGTTGACCACTGGTACAAGTGTGCCCAGCCAAAAGTATATCTGCTAATATTAAAAAGAATGTCATAAATAGGAACAACTAATGCCAAAGGGGAGTCCCTTTATGAATGAAATGTTCCTGGGGGTACTTACCATTGCCTAGTTCCCAAGAGATGTTATAATTCTTGGAAGAGCAATAGTCCAGGAGCAACTGAGCGTTAGAACTATTCCACTGCAAATTTGCTGTTCGTAATAAGGCATTTAGACCAAAGATCAAGTCCAATCCTGAGCAATTTGCAAAAGTGTACAGCATATCCACAGAGCTTCCTAAAAGAAAAATGTTGCAATGTAATGGCTGGGTCAGCACCACAATAATGAAGGCCTCCAGATTTGTTCTCCAGTGAATTACTATTTTGGTTGTTAAATTGAAGGAATTACAGTCCTAATGAGTGACTATAATTAAGAGACAAAAAACTGGACAGGCAAATTAAAAAATTAAAAATAGATAGGACTTCATTGCCTTCAGCGGTTAAATCAACTTTCCATGCTGAACCATGTGAAGTACCAGAAGCTTTGGTCTGGCACTCAGGTTTTATTCAAATGACCTCAAGTGAACTCATGCTCAAGCCACACTATCATTAGTCAACATAAGCCACACTCTTCATAATTAAAACATCTCTACTCACAAACTCAGGCACAAAATATTTTGGTAGATTTAACTATATTTAAAACAAGTTTTTGGAAAATTCATGTATATGATTTATTGATTTTAAATAAGTACAATTTGACATTAAAAAATTGACCTATGATTATAGATCTGTGGTTTCCAAACTATGTGCCAAGACATCCTGGCAAGTTTCAAGAAATTCATCACATGGTTGTCAGATTTAGTAAATGAAAATATAGATGACCAATTAAATTTGGACTTCAGATAAATTATTCAGATGAATAATTTTTACTGTATGTCTATGCAACATTTGAGAAATACAGTAAAAAAATTTTAGTTTATCTGAAATTCAAACTTACCCAAGCAACCCTACTCACAGGAGCACTACAGAATCCTTTAGATTTGCAAGGGAAACATCAACTCTGTTGGACATGACAAGAACTATTACTATTAGGTTTTTGGACCTAACAACTTCATAATTGAAAATCTTAGGTATTTCCTTGGGGCTAGGTAAGATAGGAAACAAATTACTGAGTCACTTAAGTGCCATAAAGGTTTGGAAACTTTTGAACTCAGCGTTTCTAACCATTAACTTGTTTAAAATCCCTTCTTGAGAGTGGCAACAACGTCAGTTTGAATATCATCTTGAAGTCAGGTATCATACGCATAGTAAGTCTGTAATTTTCATGCATATTTAGAGTTATTTGTTGAATAGAAATCCACTCGAACTCTCCTAGTTCAAAAAAATCTAAATGAATTACTTGGATCAGCATAGCAGAGAAACCTTAAATTTAATATTGCCGATGAAGCTGAGGTGCAGGGGCATCTAGGTGGCTCATTGGTTGAGCATCTGCCTTCAGATCAGGCCGTGGACCTGGGCTCCTGGGTTAGAGTCCCACATCAGGCAACCTGCTCAACAGGGAGTCTGCTTCTCCCTCTGCCCCTCCCTCCTGCTCCTGCTCTCTCTCTCACTTGCTACCAAAATAAACAAGTAAAATCATTAAAAAACAACAACAAAACAAAACAAAACTGAGTGGCAGAAACATCTCATGCAAGTTGTTTGAGGTGTTTTGAATGTTTGCTGTGTCACCCACTTCCACAGAACTGCTGCCTATCATCAAGGAGTTTTCAGACAACGGAAGTTGAAAAGCCCTCCAGTTCTGTGGCCCAGCATTCAATCAGAACCTGAGCCACAGTTTGAGATGGCACAGAGCCTTGGGATTGTTGAGTTCTCCCCAAACCTACACCCTCATTTTTCCATGAGGAAATTGACACCCAAGGAAATGAAGTGCTTTGCCCAATACTGCATAGCTATTTGGTGGCAGTGTCATTACTAGAGCCTGTTGTAAAAGGGTGACTCGACTGTCTTAATCACAGCTCCCCATTAGACATATATATATATTGCAAAATCATGCTGTGGAAAGTTTCCTGGATCAGGAATCCTAAAACCTGAGCTCCAGAACCCACTCTCCCACTTATAGACTCTATGATTGAGGTGACTCCTTTACCCTGCATGAGCCTCTGCTACAGATGCACAGCCCTGGAATTAGCACTATCATGTGCCTATTCACAAAACTGAGGTTGAAATGACAGATGTGAAAACCCTTTGTAAATCATATAGTAAACCTTTACTTTATTGTTACTACCTAGTCTTTCTATGGCATTTTCAAAAAAGTTTGCATTTCAGAGTAATTATTCAACTCATGCTTTACTCTTTGTCTATTTCATTTTTCCAAATGCACTTGGAATTTATATAGCTTACAGTTGTATTATATGCTTCCTACAATGTAATAATAATATCTCCTAGAATAAGAGCTGTATAATACTAGATTAGAATCCACTCTTAAAAAACCCACTCAGCCTACTTTCTCCTCAAAATAAGAACAATAGGAAAACTCATAGCTAATTTTCCAATTCCCAATCATTACCCCATCTCTCACCTCTTATTTTACAAGAGAGTGGAAAGATCCGTGGGACAAAGATAATCTAAATGACACACTGAAAACTGACATTGACTCTTGCCCTGGTGTTATATCATGTCTGTTTACATAAGTGTGTCCAGTTCCAGTGTGGAAATGGGTGATGGAGGTGGAGCAGTCAGGTGATGATGAAGAGAGGTGGAGAAGGAGAGCAAAGAATTAGCCCATTAAGTCAAGTTATTTTAATAAGGAAGTTCTTTCTGCAGTCACACCCAGAATTATATCTGTAACATTGCTTCCTTTTCCTGCCTAAACAGGCTTATAGAGTTTGTAGTCTCATGACAAACGTTTTTGTCATCTTCTACTTAAGTGAAACCCACCGTCCAATGGGTCCTGTAATTAGAAAACTTAACTGTATCTTCTAGGACATCTGTTTTAAGGGTGTAGGCCACTGACTAAGCAATTACCTGTCCTTGCCACAGTAGACTTTTGCAATCTCTTCCACTGGACAATGTCAGCCCAAGTTACTCAGGCATTGCCAACCTCAGTCAGCAGTGCAAAGCGATGTGTGGAAACACTTATAGGCTTCTGAAACACTTACCACTATAATGAGTTGATGCCAGACGGAACACCATCCATTCCTGTCTATATGTTTCTAAGACATGTACATTCAAACAAAACATTTCAAACCAGGAGTCAAACATTTCAAAATACATATAAACTATCCATATTTGTTCAATATTTTAGCCAAACAGGTGGCTGCAGTTATAATTAGACCTAGTTACATAGTTAGTGAAGGAACTTCCTTCTGGTGTAGGAACTAGGAAGGTCCTAGTCCCAGAGGCAGGGAAAGATAGTGGAAACCTACCATCTTGATTCCAGAAGGATTGTGTGAGGTAGGAAACTGGTATAAACTGACAGAATGTTTAACATGATACAAAATAAAGTAGAAGTCAATAGATTACCTAATAACATGGAGTCTTCTCTTCGCAGACCTAGATCATAATGATTTATTATAGGTGAGATCTTACTACTATGGGTCTCTTGTACTCCTGTCACTCCTTTCATGGGATCTGAGACAGCCCTGTGTTATGCCAAATTCCATTCCACCATAGATCATGTTATTAAAGTGTCAGAGTAGTTCCCCCACCCCCTTTAAAATGCAATAAATAATTTAGAGGATTGCCTTTATCTATTAACATGCAAACTATTTTCTGATTTCTTATGTGTCATATCTTTTCTATACCTTATAAATAAAAAAATATAAAGATAAAAATCCATGGGATACATTGAACTCCAGAGAACATACAGTAAAATCTTACAAAGATAAATAATCTACTTCCAATAATGTATTCTTGGAAATGCTGAGTGACCTAAATTAACTACAAGATCATTTATTTTCCAAAAATCCAAGAAAAGAGCGTTGTAGAGTAGGTTATTTCCTTAGCTGAGATCTGGGGCAACATCATCCCTTAGCTGGGTATAAAATATCAACTTTCATGGGCAGCCCTGGTGGCGCAGTGGTTTGGTGCTGCCAGCAGCCTGGGGTGTGATCCTGGAGACCAGGGATCAAGTCCCATATCGGGCTCCCTGCATGGAGCCTGCTTCTCCCTCTGTCTGTGTCTCTGCCCCTCTCTCTGTGTCTATGAATAAATAAATAAAATCTTTAAAAAAATAAAATACCAACTTTCAGATAAAAATATTTTTCATAGTTAAATAAAGATTGCCTGTTTCAGTCATTTTAAAGCTCTGCACGGCAATATCCTCCCATATTGAAGACTGGATAACTGTATCAATGAGTGGAAATAAATTCCTGGTTAGTCTAGCTAGTTCTACGTTTGCAAAGCCTGAGAGGAAAGAAAAACAGAGAGCTGCTTGATGGCCAGCACTGTCTGTTATGACTCAGGCTTCCACTCCCTAATGGTACAACTCATAATAGTGGTTGCTTCTGGGAGGAGAGATGGAATAGATGACGAAGTGTGGATGGTTTTCACAACTTACACTTTTTTTTTCCTAAAGATTTATTTGTATTTTTGAGGAATCTGTCCACCCAGTGTGGAGCTTGAATTTTCAACCCGAGATCACAAGGTGCAGGCTCTACTGACTGAGCTGTTCAGGTGCCCCCACTATTTACTCTTCATACTCTTGTACTTTACTTTCACACTGGAAATGTATCTGTGTCTTCCCTGACTTCCTAGTTCTCCAGAGCAGTAAAGGTCATCATTAGCTCATGAATGAATGATTTCTAGATTTCACTTCATGGCTAGTAGGCAAAGTCAGGTGAAGTAAAGAAATGGGGTTCACAATTTCCCATTAACTCTTGATACCATTTGAGTATTATGCAGCTTTACACAACTGCCGTAGGGCGTACATGATTCAAGCCCAAGTTCAAGCTCTCCATGTATTTTGGGGGCTGGGACACCTGCAGAGTGCCTTTCATCTCTTACTTGAGTAAGTGCTGTTCTTGAACTTTTTCTGATACTGTTCTTGGAGCAGCAGTTTTTCCTGGAATGGCCATTCCAATTGTAACCTCTTCTCTACATCAGAAGGGATGGATCCAGATTTGCAAATATCTGCAAGTGGAAGAAATAGTTTAGAGAATGTATTTTCACAGTGATAAGGTTCAAATCCCACACATTTATTTCATTACCTATCTATGTGACTAAAGCAGGATAATTACATTTCTGGTTTTTAGGTACAAGACTGGAGGAAGATACATTCTGTTACACACGTCAAATTTGCTGGCTAACCAATCACCACACAAAAAAACAACCAACGGGCAGGTTTCCTAAGAAACAGTGGGCATACCCTGGATACAAGATACACTGGGCATAACTACAAGTTATTTAACAATTCAGAAGGCTCCTCAGAAACTTAAAATTGCTAGAGAATCCCAATGAAGAAGACATAGTTCAATTCTCTTAAGATTCATTTTCAAAATACATAAAATTTGTTTCACTGGCCTCTATCCGCTTTGTGATGATTTTCTCTTGCCATAATGGTAGGATAGGAAATATTGACTTTTTTTCCCCCTTCAAGTATGGTATCCTCAAAGCTTCTGAGACCACAACATGTGCACTTGGAAAAAGCAACCACTATGCTGTCAGGCAGACTGTGCTTCTTTATCACAAGGCAGCAGAGCTGCTGAGGGCTGGCCGCCAGGGCTGGCTGACCCGCCAACAACTTCCTTTCTGGAAAGCTGCTCATTCTGGCTTTCTGGCAGCTCATGTCTCATCCATCCCTGTGCTCACAAAGGATGCTTCAGAGGCTTTGACACCCCCCGCCCCTTACCACATACACACACAGGATGAGGAAAATCGATGAGCAAAGGAGAATTTCCTGTCTGAACTTAAGAGATCTTTCAAACACATGTGACTGAGGGAATGGATAAGTCTGAACATATATTATTCCAATATATTATTTTAAGAGAATTCTCCTGCTTTTTTTCAATGTTTTTCTAGTTACTCTTTTATCAATTTTGGCCCAATTACTGATTAAGTGTTCTAGACACTTTCTAACTGAAGAAAATAGAAGGAAAATATTTCATAATATATGAAATAATTAATTATTCACTAATATATACATTATACATACATTATTATAATTCAACTATATATACCATATTTTTAATAATTGTTACAATAATTATTTAACTGCCATTTGAGGTCTGTATAGTACTTCTGAAAGACACAGGACAAATCCTTGTGGTTCCCTCTAAGGCAGGTTTCTCAGGGGAGCCAACAGACCTCGAAATATCAGAATCACCCGAGGAGCTTGCTAAACTCATAATCTAAGGTTGGAATGGAGAATCCAAACATTCAAACTCACCCAGGTGGCTACTGAATAGTCAATAAAGTTTGACAATCACTGCCCAATAAATCAAGTCTTAAAATCCATTCTGAGATACAGAGCATATGTCTACACCCTCTTGTTATACCTTTCATCCACATGCTATTTTCAGAATAAATGGATTTCAATCTACTGCTTGTATCTTCATTTGGAAATACCCTTTTTAGTTTGACACATTTCTGCCCACACATTCCCCACTAAGCAGCTGTGTCCTTCAGCTACAATCATTGTTCTATTTACAGGACAATTAACTCTCAGTTATGCCCAGCACAATTTTTTTTTTTGCAAGGTCCCACATTCATGAAAACAAGAGGAGGAGGAAAGCTGCCCACTGTTTCCTCCTTTTATGCCAGTGCCTGCATTGGTCAGCTGAGAGCTCTTGATTTCTCATTAATTGTTAGATGTCAGCAATGACACTTCTGACAATGCTCAAGAGTAACTCAAGGGAATTAAAACATATCATGAATCTTTAAAAGGCTTCACCCTGCTTGACTTGAGACTGCCAGTAACTTCTCTCTTCAAAGGTTGGTTCTTTTTGGGGATCAAAAATTAGAAAGTCCGTCTTGGTGCCACCAAATCGCAGGTATGCAGGAGACAAACCTCTGGCCAGGGTACGAAGCTTTGGTGAACTGTTAGAAGACAAATGAGAAATTAAAATTATTTTTTTCCCAAGACAATCCAGTCAAACATGCTTACTCTCTTCTCTTTCACTGGGCCTATTTCTTAATATGTAGCTGTAAGGCCTTGGAGGGAGAAGTCTTATTGCTATAATGGAGAAATCTCAATCTGCCTCTTTTTAATTGAAGATCACACTCCTAGGCACCTACAGGCAACTTGGAGCTCTGACTCTGGCAAGAACTTATATTTTATTTTATTTTTATTTTATTTTTTTTAAGAACTTATATTTTAACTTGATAGGTAGGATAGTGTTCAGTGCTTTCAAAACATTCATAACCTTTTATGGTTGATGAAGGAAAAGAGGTTAAGAGAGTGGAAACTCTAGGAAAGATGACTGTGTTTCTTTGAAAAATAGATTGTCTTCAAAAACTTATATTCTTAGAGCACCTGGGTGCTCATTCATTTAAACATTGGACTCTTGATTTCCACTCCAGTCATGATCTTGGGGCTTGGGTCAGCCCCACATCAGGCTCCACGCTCAGTGGGGAGTCTGCTGCTTGGGATTCTCTCCCTCTGCCTCTCCCCCCACTCATACTCACATTATCTCTAAAATAAATAATAAATCTTTTTTGAAAACTTGAAAAAAGGTTTATGTTCTCAGAGAAGTTCATAAGTGAGTTAGAAGTCTTTCTCTGCTCCCTAACTCTGGCTTTCAAAGAACACACCATCCTTCTAAATTTAAGTCAAATGGATTAGAATTAGATAAGATTCTAATTCCTATCATTAACAACTCTAGTCTGAGCAATTCTAAATGCATATCTCATCAAGTCAAACATGCTCCTGATAGGTGACTAGTATGTGCTCAGAATGGCACCAAATGCTCTAGAATGGAATTAGAATGATTTATAAACCCTTCCTTCAGAAGGATGAAGATGTCATGGATATTTAAGTGAACAAAACTAAGATAACAGAAGACACAGGTAGTAGGAAACTATACATTTCTGAAGTCTCACACATGTGATTCTGGCCACACTACTCTCCAAATTCTCTTAAAACACATAAAACCAATGCTGTGCAGTTCCTTGGAATGGTCCAATTACTTAGCTTACATGTGGGTTCTTTCAAATTGGAAAATCATTCCAGGAGGACAAATTAGCAATACCTTCTAACATCCTAGGAATTAGAGACCTGACCTAAAGTATCTAAAATTTTAAGATAGTGCTTAACTATATATATGACTCAGGACGCCTGGGTGGCTCAGTGGTTGAGCCGTCATCTGCCTTTGGCTCAGGGCATGATCCTGGGCTCCTGGGATTGAGTCCCACACCAGGCCCTCTCCTCAGGGAGTCTGCTTCTCCCTCTGCCTATGTCTCTGCCTCTCTCTGTGTGTCTCTCATGAATAAATAAAATCTTAAAAAAATCTCTATATACCACCGTGTAAGATGTTGGAAAGATGTCTTTATTTATGCCTAGGAAAGAGGACTTAAAAGATGGAAATAGACCAAAGATAAGTCTCCTGCATTAAAAACTTCAGCAATTCCTCCTTGCCATTTTTGTTTGTTTGTTTGTAACTTGAGAGCTTCTTATTGTACTACCTTGGCATTTTTGCCTTCATGATCCTCTTCTTCCATAAAAAAAACATATTTAAAATTATATTTCATGATGATATTTCTAAAAAGACAAACATGTTAGAGGAGGCTGGGTATCTCAGTCGGCTGTCTAACTCTTGGTTTCAGCTCAGGTCACGATCTTGCGGTCATGGGATCGAGCTCCAAGTCAGGCTCTGCGCTTAGCAGGGAGTCTGCTTCAGGTTCTCTCTCCCTCTCCCTCCTGCTCTCTCTCTTTCTCTTTTTAAATAAATAAATATTAATATTAATTAATTTAATATCAACATTAATATTAATAAAATTAATTAATTTAAATAATTAAATATTAGTATTATTTAATGTTAATTAATTTAATAATAATTTAATATTATCTATTAAAACATCTTCTTTGACCTAAAGGTTAATTTACTTTGGATCTTAGAAGAAGTTGGAATATTTTCATGGTCCCCTAAGTGTGTTACAGGTCCTAGGATGAGGAAATGCAGCACAGAGTGAGGCTTCAAAAATAGTATCAGGCTGGGTTCAGTGCTGGCTGAAACACACAATGGCACCAAAGAACTCCAGGAAGGATGGCTTCTGCCATGAAATCCTTAACAACTACCAGACGATAAATGCTAATAACCTTGACTAAGTCAGGATTCAGATGAAAGCCATTTCCACTTTGCTACAAACCCAAACAAAAATAAGCTGTAGGGAAAGGAAGAGAGCACTTTGTTTGATGGGCACAGAGTTTCAGGTTGGGAAGATAAGAAAGTTCGAAGATGGGTGATGGCGACGGTTGTACAGCAGTGTGGGTGTACTTAATGCCACTGAGCTACACATTTTAAAAGGTTCAATGGCAAGTTTTATTTTTTGTAAATTTTACCATAATTTTAAAAACTGCAGACATAGTGTGATTTCAACAATGAAAATAATATATATAGAAGGTTAAATATGTATAGTGATGGATGGTAGACTCTTTTCTGTATTTTATAAGCGTTCCATAAAAAGCATATGACATTTTAAGCTACACAAGGTGGTTTTGTGTATATGTTTCTAGTTTTTAAGGGTAAGTGAGGAAACCAAAATTTAGTGAAGGGAGACGTAGCCATCCATTAATCAATAAATATTCCTGGCAGACCCGTTCTGCCAGGTATTGTACTAGTGGCTGGGGATACAATAGCAAAAAAGACAGACAAAGCTCCTGTTCTCATATAATTTACAGTTCTGCATAAATACTTGTTTTTGGTTTAAAGATTTACTTATTTATTTTGGTTAAAGATTTATTTATTTATTTATTTATTTATTTATTTATTTATTTATTTTAGAGAGAGAGTGTGCGTGTGCATGAGCATGTGAGTAAGTGGGTTCGGGGGGTAACGTGGAGTGGGGGAGAGGGAGAGGGAGAGAGAAAGAATCCCACGATGAACAGAGAGGCCGACGAAGGACTCCATCCCACAACCCTGAGATCATGATCTGAGACCAAATTTAGAGTAGGGAGCTCAACCAACTGTGCCACCCAGGTGCCCCAATTGCATACATATCTATTTAAACAAGTCAATAGGCAATTCCAAAACAGTGCTATGAGAATATACAAAGGGGATCCTAACCCAGACTTTGGGCTGGGCGGTAGGGTGTGGTTAGAGGCTTTTGGGGGCACTAGCTTCATTGTTAGACATTCAAAAGGAATAAATCTTATCCAGATAAAAGATAGTGAGGTGGGATTGAAGGAATTGTTCTAGGTGGAGGGAAATGTCTGCAAAGACCAGAGGTAGAAGACATTATGGCACCACTGAAGAGCCAACAGGTGTGGTTAGAGCCTACAGATTGGGGGCAGGGAATTGCAAGGGGAGGTCGGACCACAGAGGCAAATAGGGCCACCATGGAGGGACTGTGGGCCCCCGTGTCCTGGAATCCAACTTTACATGAGAGCAATATAGAGCTCTGGAAGGCTTTAAAGCAGTGGAATGGTCTCACCAGACGTCTGTTTTAAAAAAGAATCTCAGGCTGCAGTGTAAATAACTGAATAGAGGGACAAAGACTGTGGTCATGTTAACATAAAAAGAAAGTGATGGGGGCGCCTGGGTGGTTAAATGTCTGCTTTTCAGCTCAGGTCATGATCCCAAGGCCCTGGGATGAAGCCCCACATCAGGTTCCCTGCTCAGTGGGGAGCCTGCTTCTCCCCGTCTCTGCCTCCCTCCCCTCCTCCTTCCCTGTCTCTCATGAATAAATAAAATCTTTTAAATAAATAAAACCCAATGCTATGGCTCCTGCCAAGTAAAGAAAATCACATGTTTCAAAAGTATTGGTATTAAAGACCTTTTTGTTTGTCTCTTTTGTAAGGGAACATTTTCTTGTTTTGATAATACAATATTAATGCCCTCTGACAAAAACCAGATTTTAAACAGCTACAAAACATGTCATAAAACAAAATTGATCAGAGGTATGCTATTCCTATCATATACAGGAAGAAGGGGGGATATACCACCACCACAGTGACATGGAAATTAAAAAAAAAAAAAAAAACACATAAAAGCAGCTGCAGACATTCCACTTCCAGAGCAATTTGTTAGGGGAAAGAAAAGTCTGCAGGTATTATTTTACCTTCGGTGTAAAAATAAGCTGCTTATCTCTGACATGAAAGCAGAGGTGTGCTGGAGCCAGCTTGTACCAGCTCCTATCAGCTGTGAGAGCCAGTTGTCATATTTTGAGAACAAGTTATTTAAACTGTTGGCAGTTTGAAATCAGCCACAGTGGGAGTATTTATACCACAGAAATAAAAACAACAACAACAACAACAACAAAACCCAAAAACCCATAAATCAGTTTCCTGTCCTCTCCAAGAGTCAATTGTTAAACATTTCCTAGAACATGGGGCATGAATTCAAGCCACAGGTAGGACCATTCAGAAGATAATGTGACATGAAAGCAGGCCGGAGGTCTGAGGAACATCAAACATTTAAGAAAGCTAGAGAAAGAGGTGAAGAAGTGTTAAAGAGGTGAGGGAACCCCCAGAAACAGAAGCGACATAGACCTGAAAGGATGAGAAAGAGTTTCCGTTGTCAACCTTGCCAACTGTTTCCAAGAGATTCCAGTCCTTTGCTAGGGCTGCAGAATCAAAGTACCACAGACTGGTGCCTTACACACAGAAATTTACTCTTTTATGGAGGTTTGGAGGTGGAGGCCAGAAATCTGAAATCCAGGTGTGGGCATGGTCATGCTCCCTCTGAAGCTACGGGGGGAAGGATCCGTTTGGGGCTCTCCTCCAGCTTCTGGTGGTTCCCTGCTGCCGTGGGACTCTAGTCTCCACACAGCCTTCTCTCCCTCTCCCTCTCTGGAGGCCTATCTGTCCCCAGATTTCTTCTTTTTGTAAGGACATCAGTCAGAATGGATTAGGGCCCCCTCCATTCCACTACAACTAGTTC